TAAAAGAAAGACGAATTTAATTCTCTTTAGAAAAGAATTCTCTTCTTGAGTTGTACAATTTTCACTGTTAATTGGTCTTTAACTACGTAAAACGATAGTGTGTTTTCCAAATACTCGTTTTTTGGGTTTAAAACACTTAAATAATCGAATTAAGTAAGACATTTTGTTGGTATAACATGTATTACGTAAATAGTTTGTCGACTTAACTCCAATCAATGCAATTTAAGTCCGGCCTCGTCGGCCAAGGTGAGAGTACGTGTTTACCAGTGTTTAATTCTCATAAAAAATATAGTTATCTATGCATTTTAACGGAATATTTTGATCTAGTAACACTATAAATAAAAAAGATTGGTCGAAAAATTTTTCAATATAGTTTTGCCAAAATCAATCAAATCGAAAAATAAGTAAAATAAGCAGTTTTTTTTTCTTTGTTTAGAGGTTGCCCTTGTATAATATAGATAATTCATGGTACAAATAATTAAAACACAAAATAAAAATGACTATAGTTTGTCTAAATAAGATAGATTAGTTTGACAATTGATTACAAATTTAGTAGGGATGGGTTGTGTTAAAGCAATCATGAATCTTATCGATTTTCGATTTTTATTTTTATAGAAGTTGGAATCGATAGATTCATAGTTATAACTTATGAATTTAAAAAAAATAACACTGTTTTCTCAAATTAATATTGACCATTGCAAATAATAAGAGTAAATAAATGTTTATGACTACTACAGCCGTACTTAATCGAATTGAATTTCGCTATTAGTCTGTCATCGCTAAATTCTCTGCACTGTAATCAATACTAGAATTGTCCTTTAACTTAGATAATAATAAAATGATTATTTTAGTTGAGTTCGATAATTATTTAAACCCAATATCGATAGTTCATAATTGTTCGCTGCGTGTTTGTTCGTCACTACGATACCTGTCTATTAAGTACGGTATTTACCTTCATACTAATTGAATTCGATATTTAATATGCGTCATTTATCAAACTAATCTTATTTAGACAAACTATAAAGATGCAAAATATTAAATCTTTAGTCACGTATTCATGTAAGATTATCATCAACATTTACAACTTGTTAATAAAAACAGAAGGTAACATGCAATGCTTTTCGTAAGTATACCAAAGTTGTGTTCACATTAACTTATACCTTATACCATAGGACGTAAGGTTTGTAATCGAGTGGCAAATGCTTTGAACTTTAGCAAGAGGTGAAGGAACTGCGAAGGCTTGCATCGAGTTATGTCGTGGCCTTGACATGATTTTCTTATAAAAAAAACTATATCTGATCTTTGATAATAAGAGACTGTTGTTTGTAAACTATGTTACGAAGCTGGGTATCATGCATTATTTAATTTTAACGATTTTGAATCTTTACTAGGCTTTTAAGATAATTTTTCATTGTAAGGGTAATACAAAAAAATGTTATAACTACGTCGTAATCTTTGACTCCAAAAATCAAACAACCTGCAAGCATTACCTTCCTGATAAAAAAAGAATTAACAAAATCGGTCCACTAGCGGCAGAGTTATGCCGCAACACACATAAAAAAACATACAGACGAATTGAGTACCTCCTGCTTTTTTGGGAAGTCGGACAAAAAACAACTAAAATCGTTGAAATACGACTAGTACTAAAATTGTGATGCGCTAATCATGCGAGAGAAATATGTATTTCGTATGTAATACGCAAATAACATGCACAACTAATATCATTTGCCAAACAGCATCGTCTGTTGCAAAACAAAACAAAATACACTAAAAACAAAACAAAATGCACTAAAAACAAAACAAAATATTCTCAAAAAAACAGTACACTAAAAAGTAACGA